CCACCGCCCTCCGGGAAGGATATGTGGCGGGGGTGGCGGCGGAGCGGGGACACCATCCTTCGGGGGTCTCGCTGCACCCGCTCCACCAGCCCGTGGTGCCGAGTGCTCCGAGACGAATCCAGAGGCGAGTGGAGGGGGCTCTGCCAAAAGACACAGATAAGTCAAAGGGGCAGCTGCCCGGGCACCCGTGCCCTCCCCCCCCAGCCCCCAGGGCTGGCGCCCACTCACCTGGAACTCGGCCAGGCCGCAGCCTATCTGGTTAACGTTGGGCAGAGACCCGCCGTAATGGGAGCTCCTCGTGTACGCCAGTCGCAATTTTTGGGCCTGTAACTGAGACACGGAGGACAGATGGCAATGTCAGGGAGGACCCTGACTGCCGTCCCTGTGGGCCACCCTTGCCACCTGTGTGCCACCACCGCCAGCGCACCCCGGAGGGCCACCCGAAGAAAAGGCCGTGCTGGGGGACAGGTCGGCTGAGACCTGGTGCAGAAACTGCCCTGGCTCTTCGGCAGGCCACTCCCGTCACCACCACCGACGGCGGGCATCCCCCTGCCAGGCGGGGCCTGCCATTCTGCTTGTGGCCCGTCCCAGCTGGTAGCGGTCTAAACAGAGTCCCTGAGGGGTTGCCAGGAGCCCCCAGGCTAGTCACGTGGATTGACTCCGGGGAAGGGTGCCTATGAGGCACCTCCACTTTCCCCTCCAGATGCGTCTAGGACTAATTGGCACGTGAGGGGCAGGCCACGGTGGATGCCACGGAGCCATTATCGCCGGCCTGTCCCCATCCCACTCCGGAGGGCACAGGCTTCTAGGCTCAGGAAAGCCACACAGACAGCCTGCACCACCAGAACTAGAATATCCAGGAAATGATGGCTCTCCGAGCTGGAAAAACAGTGCCAAAACCAAGAAGCCATCCTCTGTTTAAGTTCTCCCCCCACCCCAAGATTTTAAAGTAATCTCTACACCCAATGCGGGGGCTCAGACTCACAACCCTGAAATCAAGAGTCGCACGCTCCACAGCTGAGCCAGCCAGGTGCCCCCTTCTAACTAGTTCTAAAGGCTCTGGATTGCCAGGGGAACCTTGAGAATGGGGGTGAGGAATGCCCCAGTTCAGCCTGGGCCAGAGCCGTCTCCCTGACCTGACCCCCACCCTGCGGAGACGCACCTGGAGGTACAACCCTCGGGCTGGCGTGGTGTTTGCCTGTCTACATGTCTCAAGCCCGTCTGAGAGAGGTGAGCGTCGACTTCTGAGACTCAGACGCTGCTGCTAACCAAAACCCAGGCCCAGGGCGACTGCTGAGCTTCCGGGGGTCATGTACTGTTGTGCACAGGCCAACGTCAAAAGTGACTTTCTGTTCCAAGAGGTCGGCCCACTGAGCTTAGCGGACACGATGTGAACGTTTGGGCCACTCAAATTGCTATTATTGTGTGTGACAACCCAGCCTCTCAGTAGCATAGGCCCCTGTAGCTGTGTCTGCCTCTGAGGAGCCCTCTCTGCTGGCCAGATAACCAGCTAAGCCCCAGATGTCTTATCTTTGGCTTTAGGTTCTTGGGTCCCCAAGCCCTGGCCTTGTAGGCCCACTAGACATGTATGCGCAGCCCAGGGGCTGGGTGGGTGGAGGCGGCGTTCTGATGAACCAAAGCACCACAAAGAAAGAAATCTCAGCTTTGAACTTCTCACGGCCTTTCTGTTTGCACACACAGATGCTCAAGTCCCCCCACACCTGTGCTGGAGTCACAGTCCAGACAGAGGGCAGCATCTCAAGCGGTGCCTCTCACCCACCTTCTTGCCTCCTAAAGGAGAGCAGTCCAAAGTTAGATCAGGAACCTCATGGCACTTGGAGGGGTGTGTGTGCACAGGCACACGCGATTTGCCTCCCCACCTAACTCTCTCTGCTCTGACCCCCCCACAAACTAGAACACACGGTCTCTGGAAACTCAGAGGAAAAAAAACACAAGAAAGACTAACAGTTTAGGGTTGGACACACGCAAGCGTACAACCAGAGTCATGGTCACAGACACGACCACAGTCAGCCCAGCAGAAAGAGCTTTCAAATATGGTATTTATGTTCCACTATGTCCCCTGAGGTTCCTTCCAGCTCCCTGCCACGAGGGATCAGTGCAACACGCTCACCTGCTGTTTGGAGACTAACGTGTCCCTAAACAAGGGCTGCTTCCCAGCTGGGCCAACTCCCACCCTCACTCCCTCTGACATCCAGCCCTCCGGAGCAAGAAGCCAAGGCCAGAGGGGCTTCAAAGGCAACTCGGCCAGGATGCTTTCTTTCTGGAACTACTTAGGAAAGAATATTCCCAAACATAGAAGACCCTGCCAGACACCTCATAACCGACCCATTAAGCAGTCATCTTCCTAGAAAGCTCAGCAAACCTGACCTATAGCCAACTGGTTACCCGCTCTGGAGCCTCAAAGTCTCCACCTCCCCTCCACGCGGCCAGAGCAAAACATCAAGCACAGTCTGTGCGCAATGGTCCTCACCTACATTCACGTCAGGAAACCACAAGAAATATTTGAAAAAGGAAGCAAAGGGAAGGGACGCAGGAGGGGACTTCCTGCCCCACTAGACCCGGCGCTGCGACTCAAACCACTCAAGGGGCCCTTTCCCGGAGGTTCGAAAGTGCCGAGAGCGGCACAACTGGGCAGAGGGAACCGACTGGAGGATATCACCAACTCGGAGGCGCCAGGCTGGGCCCGGCGGACCATGCCCCCGGCCCGGCCCCGCCTCGGGGATGCTGGCAGCAGCGTCCCCGGGGACTCAATCGGGGATGCGCTCTCTGCACGCGGCCCCCGCTCGCTCCCCAACCCCAGGCTCCCGCGAGCCCCGGCCTCCCCCGCAAGCCCGTCTTCCGGCCCCTCGGCCCTCCGCCCGCGCCTCCCGGACGGCGGCGGCCCCGCTCCGCCTCCCT